TTTAATTATTTATACAATATATCTTCACATTACTGTATGACAAAAAGCCTAGAAACTGAAACATTTTTAAAGTTAAATCAATAAGAACTTAAACACATAAAACTTTCAAGAAAATAATAGTTTCAATTTTATTCTCAACTCTTAACTCATTTATAGGCATATGGCCTCAGTCCAAATGCAGCTTAACTTTCCTTTCCGTTTTTGTAGTAATAAAAGTAGCTATTTTAGATACTTCCCAAGTAATAGTATTGGTGTTCAGATGATTAGCAAGAGGTATAGGAGCCTTTGGGATATGTCTGACATCATAGGAACTATTTTTGTGTTGTTGATGTTGTTGATGGGGGCAATTCCCCTTTGTGAGTTTGTAAAGATCACATATGGCCACCTCCACATCACCCTTACTCTTTTTACCATTAGTGTCAGAAATGGAGTTCCTTGTGATGGTTCCAGGCACATAGAAATGACTACGCTGACATACTCGACCCCATTACCACCGTCATTGTGTAAATTCATCTCATTCAGCATATTATTATAACTTTAGGATTGTGCAAATGTTAACTACAAGACAAAGTAACTCAAGAAACCATTACTAAGAAATTAGATCATTTAGGTTATTAAACCATGCTACCTGAAGTTCCATATTGAAGGCTGTAGTCTTTGATGTTCTGCAACATGCATTTCAGATTCCCCTTGCTTTTAGCACACAAGGTTGGGACATCTGAAGGTAGATAATAAGACTTCCTCTGATCTTGATTTTACATTCTTCTTCAAAGAGTTCAACTTCACAGATTATTTGTTCAGTATACAGATTGAATAGATATGAAGAAAGGAAACACCCCTGATGCACAGCCTTCCTAATTTTAAACCATACAGTATTTCTTTGTTCTGTTTGGACAATAGCTTCTTGATCTAGGTATAAATTTCATATGAGCACAAGTAAATGTTCTGAGATTCCCATTCTTCTCATTGTTAGCCATAGTGTGCTGTTATCCACACCATCAAATATTTTTGCAGAGTCAATAAAACACAAATAGATATTCTTCTGGTATTTTGCCGTTTCAGCCAGGATCCATCTAATATCAACAATGGTATCCCTGGTACCAAAGCCTTTTCTAAATCTTGGTTGAACTTCTGGCAATTCCATGTACTGCTTCAGTTGTTTCCTTCCTTCCTTCCTTCCTTCCTTCCTTCCTTCCTTCCTTCCTTCCTTCCTTCCTTCCTTCCTTCCTTCCTTCCTTCCTTCCTTCCTTCCTTCCTTCCTTCCTTCCTTCTTTCTTCCTTTCTTCCTTCCTTTCTTTGTTTTTGTTCTTCAGCAACATTTTGCTTTTATGTGATTCTGTTACTTCTTCTGGGATTGGGAAAAAAATATGGATCTCTTCCATTAGCCAGATAGCTGTTCTTCAAATCTCGTTGCATAGACTGTTGAACATCTACAGGATTGCATTAGTTGAAACATGTCTATCATTATCCCATCTATTCCTGGGGCCATATTTTTTGTCAATATCTTTGATGAAGCTTGAACTATTCTTTTGTTACCATTGGCTCTTGTATATATGGCACTTTCTACAATTTTTCAGTATTGATCTATTCTTTTTGGTACAGTGACTCTATACATTCCTTTCATCTACTTTTAATGCTTCATAATAATCCAAGATCTTTTCCAAGGCTTCTTTCAGTTTTGAAACTTGAGGCTTGTATTTGTTTCTCAATTCTTTCAACTTGTGAAAGTCTGAGAAAGTTCTTCCCTTTTTATTATCTGATTCTAGCTCTTTAAAGATTTCATTCTAATACTTTGTCTTCTTGAGCCGAATTTTGAAATATTCTGTTTGGCTCTTTAACTTTAGCATCTCTTCTCTTTGTTTTGGCTTCTCAAAGTTTTAATGTAATTTTCATCATTTCTTCTGCATTTTTGCATTTTCTTTTTCTTCCTCTTCTGTGTTTGTAGTGACTTTTTCTCTCTTCATGGATGGTATTGCATCTTAACACCAGGGGAAAAAGATCCTTACCACTGGGTCAATGGGCAATATCATAATGTATGAAGAAAGGATGGAAACTGTTATTTTATCTTATTTGTGAGCAGCAGTCAAGATAAGAAGATGCTTTTGTTAAGTCTGCTGTCAGGGACCTCTCCAAAATACTGAAGAGCAATGATGTAAATTTGAAGACAAAAGTGCAATGGATTCAGGCCATGACCCTTTTTTTTTAAAAAATTAAATTGGTTTACATACAAAATCATACACATTGTGTTTCATATATTCTTCCATTCACACTGTGATTCATTCCCATATTTTGTGTTTTATAAAATTAACCACCACAGACCATGGTCTTTTCAAGCACTTTCTGTGTATCTGAAAAGATGAGTAATGATGAAAAAAAAATGCCTTTGAGTTGTGATATTAATGAAGAGTACTGGATATCCCATGGACTGCCAAAAGAATAAACAAGTATGTCTTGGAAAAAGTATAGCCTGACTGTTCCTTGGAGGCAAAGATGGCAAAGCTTCATCTCTTATATTTTGGACATGATTTTAAGAAAGGTTGTTCCTTGGAAAAGGATATAGCGCTTGGAAGAATTGGGGCTCAGTAAAAGAGAGGAAGATTTCCAAAGAAGCAGATTGACATGATGGACTCAAGGTGAGAATGGCACAGGATAGGAAACAATTCAGATCTGTTTTTCATAATATCACTATGAGTTATACTCAACTTGATGACACCAAAGAACAACAGTA